CGAATGTTGTGGATTCGCCGTTGCCAACAATTATGTTGCGTCACGCCAACGATGTCAACATTTATAATTAGGTTCTTCTGCTGCTAACATTTAAGCTTTTTATCACTGTGGAAATATTTAATTAAACATTTGAAGACGTTTATTAACTTTATTTACTTCATTATTCGGTTACACTTGATTACAACTTAATACACAATTAATTTATTGAAATGAAGACTGATGTGAAGTGATTGGAGACTAAACTAGAATGAACGCTGATTTCATCATCTCAGAGTTTTTAAAATCTCTGATGATGACGTAACCATCCTTCTGGAATGTTCGTTATGAATGATTCATTCTTGTTTATTTTAGACGCAAAACCTTACAAAAACCGTTACTCTGACTTGGTCGTGCGTCTTATCTCTGATACAATCTTTGCGTACTTTGTTGCAAGGCTATGAGCTGTGAGTCAACAATGTATATACTGCGTCTTTCATATTGACCGTTATATAGAATTTATAATATTATTTATAATTATTACAAAGGGGTGGATAGCCCTAACAATTTATATATATATATATATATATATATATATATATTGCAGAGTTTCGAACAAGAATCCAAAAAGTAATGAAAAACAAGAAAAGTTTTTTAATAAACAATTTCTTTACCTATTTATTTATTTACTGTCGACGTTTCGGAACTAAGTACGTTCCATCTTCAGGACATCTGTCAAGAAACATGATCTTGATGAGATTTAAGCAAACGATATGTTTAAGAAAATAAAATGGATTTTTCTTAAATAATAAATTAGTTGAAAAAATAATAATGTACAGAAATATGATCAAAATGAAAATGATCAAAATAAATGAGTGGATTATCTAACAGGATATTAAAAATAATAATTTTTTTTTTGAAAGTTATGGAAATTTTTTTTTAGAAAAGGTTAATGACAAAAATTGAATTAATTACCTGTATGTTTGAATATATGTTAGCACTTTATCACTAAACAAGATATTAACAAGAAATGAATTTATGAGTTATTTTTCAGCCGAATAGGTAAATTTTGTAAATCAAAATTACTATATGTTTTGTCTTTTTTAAAAAAATATTATTCGCAAACACAAACAATATTATTCTCTCGATGTTATGAGGTCGGCTATTGGAAACGAACTGACTAAGTCTGAGTCATACACAAAACACGTGTAAAACACTTGAGAACTATGCGATTATATGTGTGTGTTTTTATATGTTGGGATGTGAATACCTAAATTGTTGAACTTAAATGGAAGTCGATATTAATTGTTAGGCCACACCGTTGGGAATTCGAAGTTGTGATATATGGGAAAAGAACTAAGAATTTTGAGACCTTTCTAATGATGTATAATACTTTATATGTTTTCTTTAGAGAAATATCGAATCGTGAGAAGTATTGCTCCAACCTAGCCGCACTTTGCATTTTGACAAGTTAACAACTACGCAGATTGCTTTATACTATCTAAACCGTAAAAGATACGAAAAAACTTTGTTCGTACGAAAGATGCAGAATAAAATTACGAATAAAATGGTATATAAATGGTTAGGTGTGTTCATATAATTTTCTCTAGATTTTCCGATTTTTCCGAATTTTCACGACGGCAACTCGCCTGTAGGCCACACCGTTGGGAATTCGAAGTTGTGATATATGGAAAAAGAACTAAGAATTTTGAGACCTTTCTAATGATGTATAATACTTTATATGTTTTCTTTAGAGAAATATCGAATCGTGAGGAGTATTGCTCCAACCTAGCCGCACTTTGCATTTTCACAAGTTAACAACTACACAGATTGCTTTATACTATCTAAACCGTAAAAGATACGAAAAAACTTTGTTCGTACGAAAGATAGCGAGAATTTTACGAAATTACGAATGGGAATTCGAAGTTGTGATATATGGCAAAAGAACTAAGAATTTTGAGACCTTTCTAATGATGTATAATACTTTATATGTTTTCTTTAGAGAAATATCGAATCGTGAGGAGTATTGCTCCAACCTAGCCGCACTTTGCATTTTGACAAGTTAACAACTACACAGATTGCTTTATACTATCTAAACCGTAAAAGATACGAAAAAACTTTGTTCGTACGAAAGATGCAGAATAAAATTACGAATAAAATGGTATATAAATGGTTAGGTTTGTTCATATAATTTTCTCTAGATTTTCCGATTTTTCCGAATTTTCACGACGGCAACTCGCCTGTAGGCCACACCGTGGGAGTTCGAAGTTGTGATATATGGAAAAGAACTAAGAATTTTGAGACCTTCTAATGATGTATAATACTTTATATGTTTTCTTTAGAGAAATATCGCATCGTGAGGAGTATCTCCAACCTAGGCGCACTTTGCATTTTGACAAGTTAACACTACACAGATTGCTTTAATACTATCTAAACCGTAAAAGATACGAAAAAACTTTTGTTCGTACGAAAGATGCAGAATAAAATTACGAATAAAATGATGTATAACTCGATATATGTCATAATATTTTTTCATGAGATTTTTCAATTTTTCCTTTAAATTAAAATTGTTTAAAATTTTTCGCTGACTTAAATTCATTTGCGGGTTATGCTTTTTTTTACAATATTGTTTCAAATGATGTAAAAAGTTAAATTAGCGAGGTGCCTCAATATGCAAAAAATTGGCCCACCCTAATATATATATATATATATATGGGTCATTTTTTTACAAACCGAACACCAATTAACCTTGACATTTTAGAATTGTCTGAAAATTTGTTTACAGATACAATTCATAAAATCATTTGACACCTATTTCAGGATTTTGCTTTAAAATTTTTTTTAAAGAAAATATTTACGATTGAAATTTGGATAATTTGCTCAATTTTGATGGTCTTCCTCTGCATTAATCTTAATATCTCCAGTTGTGATGAAAAGATCAGTATGATTTTTTTATTGTACTCATTTTGAATTCAACTTTCAGTTAATTGAAAAAAAAATTGTTTTTCCACCAATAAAAGCAGTCTATTGTTAACATAGGATTTACATACCCTTTCACCAACTTGAATCGATTGAAAAAAAAACTTAATTTTTCTTTTACTCTCTACTACAAAATCTCTTTATATGATGTTGGAGGTGCAGTTATATCCGAAGATATTAAATATTTTTGAGCGCTAGCCGCGGTATCCACTCTGCATTCGTTAGGGAACTCATACGCCTGTACTCATTTATCAATTTCGAGTGCGGCATCTTTTTCCGTTTTTTGTTTCAAAAATAGTTTGCAAGTTTTTTAAGGAAAAAATGGATATATAATCGAAAATATAGTCAAAGGTTGTGAAGATTTTATAGAAAATGCTCATATATAAAATAATGTTAAATGAATGATATGGAGTAGGTTTCATTTTGTTGAAAAAATAAATAGAAAAGTGTGCGAAAAAATAATTAATTTATTACATAATATAAAGTCAATAATAAATACACAATTTAAATCACAACTTTAACTAGTTGAACAACAGTTGATTCGCTGTCTTTCTGCGAAGAAAAGTTCTTGGCACGCACTTTATTTCCTTAAACAGGTATAATACAATTAAATTTTAAGGTTCCTTTTACTGTAAGCACATTATTATATCTTGTTTTTAGTTTTTGATTTGCTACAATATATTCTTCATTTGTTACATATTTATAAGAAATGCTAGAAAGGGATTCAGTTGCCCATTTAAATAATTGTTCTGGCGTTTGGATTGGATTTAATGTTCTTTGAAGACTAGCTCTGGCAACTAGTCTTTTCAAAGTTCCACCAATTCCATCGCAAGCGCCCTTACCGTGGGATGTTGGAAAAAAATGCCACTCGGCAACAAGACTAAAATCTTTTTCGTGGTAAGTAAGATTCACATTTTTTTTGTTTTCAATCCGCATCCGACCCATCAGAAAAGTATATGATTTTTTTAGTTTGTTTCAATTTGTTGTCAGTGCTTGAGAATTCTACCAAATGTTGTTGAAATACATGGACCGCTATAGTGTCGTGGTGCAGACATTCTGAAATTACTTACTGTAACTTACCGTCATTATTTTTACAGACTACGATGCACTCACTCTGTTTTAGTTCTTCTTTTTTCTTCATCATAAATTCGTTTTGTTTTTTTACAAGAAATGAATGTACCAGTAACTTTCCTAAACTGGTCTGCAACTTTTGTAAAAACTTATCAATTGGAGATATCATTAATTGTAATGTAGATCTGTCAACATTGGTCCACTGCCTGTATCTAATTTCTTCAATGTAGTTTTCGTCAAAAATATTTTCTAATTCACTGATCAAATTTTCTGAACCAGGACACTTGGAGCATTTCCCAAAATAACAATTATCTGTGGGTTCTACACAAGTCATAGTTTTCAAACAGTCATGATAGGATTTCAATAGATTATTTATGTGGGCAGTAAAATTTTTCATATTAGATCCTCTACCAACAATTTAATAGAATTCATACGGCCTGCAGCGCTGCAAGTTCTCACATGTTTCATTACGTCGCGCGCTCAAAAATATTTAATATCTTTGGATCTAACTGCGCCTCCAACATCATATAAAGAGATTTTGTAGTAGAGAGTAAAAGAAAAATTATGTTGTTTATTTCAATCGATTCGAGTTGGGGAAAGGAAATGTAAATCCTATGTTAACAATAGACTGCTTTAATTGTTAAAAAATTGCAAAAACAATTTTTGTTTCAATTAACTGAAAGTTGAATTCAAAATGAGTACAATAAAAAAAATCATACTGATCTCTTCACCGCAACTGGAGATATTAAGATTAATGCAGAAGCAGACCATCAAAATTGAGCAAATTATCCAAATTTCAATCGTAAATATTTTTTTTTTTTAATTTTTTTAAAGCAAAATCCTGAAATACGTGTCAAATGATTTTATGAATAGTATCTGTAAAAAAATTTTCAGACAATTCTAAAATGTCATATATTTTTTGCCTGAAATCCGTACGATTTGTAAAATCGTATATATAACACTACTGTACTCACTGAAAATCATCTTCTGCCAGTGACAATGCATCATCAGAATCAAGACTGCAATATTGTACATCAAACCGAACAACGCCGCTGACATTTGAAATTATGTTGATGGCTTCCTGATTCGAAGACTATAAAAAAATAAATTTTAAACATAATTCAATGACTAATACATAACAATAACTTCGTTGCACATGTGTCATTTAAAGTCTAAAACTGTCATTTAAAGAAAAAACATAATTTTTCTTTTATGTGTATATAAAAACTAACCTTTTTAACTCCCCGTAGGATGAGTTTTAGTAATCGCAAAAAATAAAAAAATAAGATTTTTATATATCTTTACGCTTCAACCGTTTCTGAACATTTTGGCATACCGTAGAAAAAATCGATGGGGGCATCAAATCATCAGATATTTTATGGATATTTCAATAATAAGAATAAATTTTATTTACATTTCTATAAGTTCCGTTCCAATGTTTATCCGCTAGACTGCAACGAGGCGCTCACGCGCTTAGATATTGCGTTTCAAAGCTGCTAACGTATTGCGATTGCTTTGAAAAAAAGTTCAAAATTTCCAAAGTATTTATTTCAAACCAAGAAAAAATTCAAAAATCATTCAAATTAATTTTAAAAGGGTCAGTTTTTCTTCAAAAATTTTCGAATTCTAAAACATCTACTTTTTTTTAACTTTGAATTCTAAAAAAATTCGAATCTTTTTTAAAAAATTAATTTTTGATACAAGAAGTTACAGCAATTTGCCTCAAAGCACGATGCCATGCACCACTAGTTTTTATATAAAGATAGATAAATAATAAAAAAATGAATATAAATACCTGCAGAAGATCAATATCGTTCACTTTAAGAATAGTATCTCCAATGAAAAAAGCACCAGATTCAAAAGCAACACCACTGGGATTCAGATCCGAAATTATAATTGGAAGACCATGTTCACGTCCGCCCTAAAAGTAATATTAAAAATTAGTTTATCTTTAAAAACATATCAATTCAAATAATTAGTAAATTTAAAATAATATGGTTTTTATATAACATATTTTGTATTTTATACATTCAAGTGTATATATATACTAGCCGACCCGGCACGTGTTGTTTAACAAAGTAAGGTATTTTATGTGTATAAGAATGTGTTGTATGCGTGCTACAGACGTTTTGATGTAACATAAAAAACAATGAAAAATCAAACTTTATTTATTTAATGAGTTATATTATATTAGTTAGGACAAAAAAAGTGATTTTTTGTAATTCTTTCTGAAAACAACTATTCAATCTATTGATTCTAACATTTATTCGCATAGAAAAGCATAGAAAAGCAGTTATATTTTAAATATAATTGCAAGCAAAAATATTTATTTAAAAAAAAGATATAGCATATCTCCAAAAGAATCTCTCTAGATAAGGTGACCACCTTATCTCTGAATAAAATGATCTAAAATTTAAAAACTAAAGAAATTTCATTAAAGATAAATCAAGTAATTAATCGAAGGAATAAGCAAAATAATATTTTGTGACAAAATGGCGTCTTCTTAAAAAAAAAACTAGTTTTTGACGAAATATTGACCTTAAATTGTTTATAACAAATGAAAGTATATATCGTATCGGTAAAATCTACGATTAATTACTAAAAATGTATTTAAGAAGCTCGTGTTAAAATTTGGGACTAATCGGTTTAGCCGTTTTGGAGTTATGTTGGTCACCGGCATTAAAAACACCATTTCGCGAAAAACGCGTTTAAAAATGTTTTATTCAACCCACATGAAGTCGTCTATTTCAGGACCATATAAGAGACCCTCCCTAAGTAATTTTTTTTTAAATAACCGCACTACGGGCCAGTACTGGCGTTCTGTAGTGACTGCTGGCCGATACTGGGCACCCCCAAATTTTCCCGCAGTGGTGTACTTTGAGCATTTGACAATAGTTTTAATGTAAATATACAAAAATAAATTGAATAAAGCGCTCGTATGGACTGAATATAAATAATCACATATTTATTAATTATATGTATATATATATATATATATATATATTGAATGGTAGAATCTTGGATTTGTGTATATTTTGTAGAGTTTCGAACAAGAATCCAAAAATAATACAAAATAAAAAAACAAGAAAAGTTTTTAATAAACAATTTCTTTATTTAATTATTTGTTTACTGTCAACGTTTCGGAACTAGGTACGTTCCATCTTCAGGACATCTGTCAAGAAACATGATCTTGATGAGATTTAAGCAAACAATATGTTTAGGAATAGAAAATAGATTTTTCTTAAATAATAAATTAATTGTAACAAATAATAATGTACAGCAATATGATAATATGATCAAAATGAAAATGATAAAAATAAATGAGTGGATTATCAGAACAGGATATTAAAAATGATAAAATTGAATTAATTACCTGTATGTTTGAATATACGTTAGCACTTTTTCACTAAACAAGAATTTTTAACAAACAATGAATTTGTGAGTTATTTTTCCGCCGAATAGTTAACTTTTGTAAATCAAAATTACTAAAAGTGTTGTCTTTTTTAAAATTATTATTTGAAAACACAAATAATATTGTTCTCTAGATATTGTGCGATTGGCTTTTGAAAATTAACTAAATTGAATTTGGTGTGTCATTTGTAACACGTGTGAACACTTGAAACGAGAACTGTGAGATTGTATGTGTGTGTTTTTTTCATGTTAGGGTGTAAATACTTAAATTATTGAACTTAATTTACACCCTAACATGAAGAAAACACACACATACAATCTCACAGTTCTCGTTTCAAGTGTTCACACGTGTTACAAATGACACACCAAATTCAATTTAGTTAATTTTCAAAAGCCAATCGCACAACATCTAGAGAACAATATTATTTGTGTTTTCAAATAATAATTTAAAAAAAGACAACACTTTTAGTAATTTTGATTTACAAAAGTTAACTATTCGGCGGAAAAATAACTCACAAATTCATTGTTTGTTAAAAATTCTTGTTTAGTGAAAAAGTGCTAACGTATATTCAAACATACAGGTAATTAATTCAATTTTATCATTAATCTTTTCTTAAAAAATTTTTTCCATAACGTTCATCAAAAATTTCTATCATTTTTAATATCCTGTTCTGATAATCCACTCATTTATTTTTATCATTTTCATTTTGATCATATTATCATATTGCTGTACATTATTATTTGTTACAATTAATTTATTATTTAAGAAAAATCTATTTTCTATTCCTAAACATATTGTTTGCTTAAATCTCATCAAGATCATGTTTCTTGACACATGTCCTGAAGATGGAACGTACCTAGTTCCGAAACGTTGACAGTAAACAAATAATTAAATAAAGAAATTGTTTATTAAAACCTTTTCTTGTTTTTTTATTTTGTATTATTTTTGGATTCTTGTTCGAAACTCTACAAAATATATATATATATATATATATAATTATATATATATATATATATATATATATATATATATGTTAGAGAAGTTAGTTTTGATGTTGAGAAATATGAGTAAGTTCTTCAAGGGCAATCAAATAAAAGGCAAAGATTTAGAAGTTAATCTTTAATTTTTCCAAACGTTTCGACATAGTATTTTATGTCATCATCAGTGGATCTACAGAATGAATATTGAAAAATTAATATAAACTAGGGAAAAATTGACAGAAATTGGAAAAAGAACTATAGATATAAGTAATATAATTATAACAATAACAAATACACTTAACAGCTAGATAAACAAGAGAAATAAAAAGTAAAAAGAAATATATACAAACATACAAAAGCGTAATATATATATACATAAATATACACACAAACAAACATGTATATATGATATACATGTACAAACACGTGCACATATACATATATACATACGAATAATACGTATATATAAATATATACATACGGACGTGTACATATGTATATATATACATATATACATACATATACATACACATATACATATATACATACATACATATATATACACATATACATATATATATATATATATATATATATATAATATATATAAAATTAAAATGCAATGATTGTGATTCCATTTACATAGGTGAAACTGGACAAAATTTAATAAAAAGACTAAAACAACATGATAATAACTCTAAAAACCCACGACAAAATCAAACTATGATAACAGAACATATAAAAAATTTTAAACATTCTTTTGACTTTTATAACGCTAGTATACTTTATCACGAACGGAACATTATTCAGAGAAGATTTGCTGAATCTTGTCTAATCAGCATTTCTAAATCTTGTGTTAATAAACGCCATGATGCCTCCTTACTCTGTGAAAATTATCAGGTGATACTTAATAATATTTCCAAATTTGTTTCCTCTTAACCTGCATAATTCCGAACCTGTAAACCTACCCTTACGCGGTCCGATCCCGAACTTAGATTCTTAGCCTCTCACCCATACTTCGAAACACCGATTGTAAAAAACCCGCCAACTATTCCCTCAAACGGTCTCTTCAAATAATTTTTAAACACATGTTACTACAGCCTCGGGCTCGGTCACATAAACTACGTTCTCTGTGCAAAATATATTATATATTTCACAAATATTTTGCTATGCTCTGTTCAACAAAATAATAATAAAAAAAACAAGTTAGTGTATATATAATAGTGCAAAATTATGTGCCTTGCGCTAGCTACTGATGTAAGACCATATTTATGTAAGTTAGCTTCGTTGTCTATATATATGTATGTGTCTGTATTGCATATGTATGTATATGTATATATATATATATATATATATATATATATATATATATGTATGTATATGTGTATATATGTGTATGTATGTATATATGTATATGTGTATGTATATGTATGTATATAGGTATATATATACATATGTACATGTCCGTATGTATATGTTTATATATACGTATTATTCGTATGTATATATGTATATGTGCACGTGTTTGTACATGTATATCATATATACATGTTTGTTTGTGTGTATATTTATGTATATATATTACGCTTTTGTATGTTTGTATATATTTCTTTTTACTTTTCATTTCTCTTGTTTATCTAGCTGTTAAGTATATTTGTTATTGTTATAATTATATTACTTATATCTATAGTTCTTTTTCGAATTTCTGTCAATTTTTCCCTAGTTTATATTAATTTTTCAATATTCATTCTGTAGATCCACTGATGATGACATAAAATACTATGTCGAAACGTTTGGAAACATTAAAGATTAACTTCTAAATCTTTGCCTTTTATTTGATGTATGCCCTTGAAGAACTTACTCATATATATATATATATATATATATATAATAATATATATATATATATATATATAATATATATATATATATCTTATATATGAAATTCTTCTGTAACAATGTAAGTTTCATTAATCCTCCTAAACTATAATTCGGATTTTCATGAAATATAGTTAGATTGTAGAAATAAATGGAAAAAATTACAAAAAACCGCTTATCATTGTTTGACCTTTAAAATATTTAAGGCATGGTTTGACATTAAAAACAAATGACAACTGTCATTTGCCAAACATTTCTATTCACTTATAGGCTAAGGCAATATTAAAATATAATAAATTCATGATTAAAAATAAAGAAAATGTAATGTCTACCTTATTATTGCCAAAAAAGAAGCTGAGATGTGCTAAAAATTAAAATAATATAAGATTTAGTATAAGATACAGTCAACATCTGACAGATGATGCAGTCTGCGCATGCGTCTCGCGCATAAAACTTAGCCTACAATTCACTTTGACTGATTATTATTTTTTAACTTTTAAATGCAGTCGTGTTTTGCCTAAACAATTATTTAAAAGTTTCATTGTGTCTAAAATTCATATGTTTGGCATTGGATACGAAATATTTACTCAAGACAATGGAGCATTTTGGGTCTGAATATTTTTAATGTGCTTCAATTTGCAAGAAATTTTG